CTCAACTGGGAAATGTTTTTTCAGAAATTCTTTTTCTGACATGTTATTCTACATGTCTAGAACATTCTCACAAAATTTTATAATTTTTGGAATTCATTTACTATTTTAAAATGATTTTACAAGACAGATGCGCACTGCTACAGTACCTCCGGTCGACCGAATTTTTCGCCGGTCGACCGACGGACTCTCTGGACGTCTCCTGCGATTCTGACCTTGTTTCCGGTCGACCGCGATTTTCATCGGTCGACCGCTGGAGTCCCAACGGCTCTTTTTAGAGCCGTTGTAGGTGGTTTTTTGGTCAATTTGTTTGGGGTTTTTGGCTGAGGTTTTGGAGGCTATAAAAACCCTCTTTGATCTCAGTTTTCAACCAATCTAAGAGAGTTTTAAAAACAAGTTTAAAGAGTTTTGTTTAAGGGTTTAGTGTTTGTTTAAAAAGCTTTTAAGTATTTACAAGAGTTTGGTTTGTGAAGATCTATAGAGAAGTTTTCCTTAAACTCAATTCTAGCTATTTATTGTTTTGATCTTAATTTCCATAAGCTAGATTTCTATATTGAGTTTAAATTGTTTTATTGATACTCTTTGTTCACACACAACCTATTGAGCTTATTGTATTTACATTCATAAGTATAATTTAGGGTTGTGGGTTTGTGACATTGAGAGTGAGCTTAATTGAGTTCTCACCTTGTTTAGAGAACAATCAAATTGATTTATTTATAATTTGTTCTCATTCATTGTAGAGAACAAATACTTTGTATTGAGCCTAATTGTGAGGATTCACTTGTAATACACTTGTACACCGAGAGAAGTGTGTGGTGAGAGACGGGGTCGAATCCAAGAGGAGTGGCGTCGGTTGACGTGCCTAGGGAGAGGTTGTAACCGAGCACTTGAGGAGGAGGACACGGACTAGGACCAACACTTAGTGTGTGAGGTGTGATTGCATAGTGATTGTATTGTGAGGTGTAAACGTTGTTCGGGTGAACGTAGAAAACCCGGTTGTGATAGTGGAGTATCTCCTCGAGGTGTTAGACGGAATTTGGTTTCTGTTTCTGTATTGGACAAATCAGGTTATTCTTGTTCATTTGGAAACAGTCAATTCAGTTTATCTTTTAATTCAAATGTTGTGGGAACCGGTTACTTGAGTATTTATGACAACCTATATTTGCTTGATACAATTGCTTCTTACAATGAATCCTTGCATGTGGAATCACGTGGTACTAAGCGTAAATTAAATAAGGAAAATTCGGCGACATTATGGCATAAGCGCTTAGGTCATATCTCAAAAGGTAGAGTTGAGCGTCTTGTGTCTGATGGCATTTTGGATTCCCTTGATTTTTCGGACTTCGACGTATGTGTTGAATGTATCAAGGGAAAACAGACCAAAGTGAAGAGATTAGGTGCCAACAGATCTTCGGATGTCTTAGAATTGATACATACGGATATTTGTGGGCCATTCCCTACGGAATCCTGGAATGGTCAACAATATTTTATATCATTCATAGACGATTACTCACGTTATGGGCACCTATATCTTATTCATGAAAAATCTGAGTCTCTGGACATGTTCAAAGCCTATAAAGCTGAAGTTGAGAATCAACTCAACAGAAGAATTAAAACCGTCAGATCTGATCGTGGTGGTGAGTACTACGGTAGATATGATGGTTCAGGTGAACAACGTCCAGGACCATTTGCTAGATACCTAGAGGAATGCGGTATCGTCCCACAGTACACTATGCCGGGTTCACCTAGCATGAATGGTGTAGCTGAAAGACGAAACAGGACTCTTAAGGATATGGTAAGAAGTATGATTGCTCATTCTTCTTTACCAGAGTCACTCTGGGGAGAAGCACTTAAGACAGCAGCTTACATTCTGAATAGAGTACCAAGTAAAGCAGTTGCTAAAACACCTTATGAGCTTTGGACTGGTCGAAAGCCCAGTTTAAAGCATTTACATATTTGGGGATGTCCAGCTGAGGCAAGGCCTTATAGGCCAAATGAAAAGAAATTGGACTCCAAAACAGTTAGCAGCTACTTTATTGGGTACCCTGATCGCTCTAGGGGCTATAAGTTTTATGATCCCACTATAAGGAATATTTTTGAGACGGGAACAGCAACATTCTTTGAGGATGTTGAGTTTGGGGGGAGAAATAAGGTTAGAGACATTAGTTTTGAGGAGGAATTGGCTTCAGATCCAATCCATACAGTTACTTTTGACAATATTCAGGTTCCTATACCTGTTGTTGCTCAAGAAGTAAATCCGGAACCTCAAGATGATAATGTTGAACAACTCCCTGTTCCAGAAGAACAAACTCAACAACCTCAAGAACCAGTGCCATTAAGGAGATCCACGAGAGAAAGGAGAAATGCTATTCCGGATGATTATATTGTATTTCTCCAAGAACATGAGGAAAGTAGTGGAATGTTAGAAGATGATCCAATCAACTTCTCTCAGGCCATGAAAAGTTCTAACTCTCAACAGTGGATTGATGCCATGAATGAAGAGTATAAGTCTATGCAAGACAATAAGGTTTGGGAACTTGTCCCATTGCCAGAAGGTGCAAAACCAATTGGTTGTAAATGGATTTTTAAAACCAAGCGGGATGCAAACGGTAATGTGGAGAGGTATAAGGCGCGTCTTGTGGCTAAAGGCTATACTCAAAAGGAAGGCATTGATTATACAGAGACTTTCTCTCCGGTTTCATCGAAAGACTCTTTCAGAATAATCATGGCACTTGTTGCTCATTATGATCTTGAGTTACATCAGATGGATGTTAAGACTGCATTTCTCAATGGAGACATTGATGAGATGATTTATATGGTGCAACCAGAAAACTTTGTGTCAGGAGACCCAAAGAATATGGTTTGCAAATTAAGGAAATCCATCTATGGACTCAAGCAAGCTCCTCGTCAATGGTATCATAAGTTTCAACAAATAGTTATCTCGTTCGGTTTTGAGATGAACATTGTTGATGACTGTGTATATCACAAGTTCAGTGGGAGTAAGTATATTTTTCTGGTTCTGTATGTGGATGACATCTTGCTTGCCACTAATGATATAGGCATGTTGCACGAAACCAAGAGATTTCTATCAAAGAATTTTGAGATGAAAGATCTTGGGGACGCCTCTTTTATATTAGGGATCCAGATACATCGAGATCGCTCTCGGGGTATTCTTGGATTATCACAAAAGAGCTATATCGATAAGGTACTTAAAAGGTTTGGCATGCAAGATTGCAGACCAGGTGACACCCCTGTTGCTAAAGGAGACAAGTTTAGTCTCAATCAGTGCCCTAAAGGTAACCTTGAAATTCAGGAAATGCAGAAGATTCCTTATGCTTCGGCTGTAGGAAGTCTAATGTATGCTCAGGTATGTACGCGTCCGGATATTGCGTACATTGTTGGGATGTTAGGCAGATACTTAAGCAACCCTGGTATGGATCATTGGATAGCAGTCAAAAGGGTTATGAGGTATCTTCAGAAAACAAAAGATTACATGCTCACATACAGAAAATCAGAGAAATTAGAGGTCATTGGGTATTCGGACTCTGATTTTGCTGGATGCCAAGATAGCAGGAAGTCTACATCAGGCTACATTTATATGTTAGCAGGAGGAGCTATATCATGGAAAAGTGTCAAACAAACACTAGTAGCTTCCTCCACTATGGCAGCAGAATTTGTAGCTTGCTATGAGGCATCCAATCAGGGAATATGGCTGCGAAATTTTGTCACGGGACTGCGCATTTTGGAAAATGTTGAAAGACCACTAAGGTTATATTGTGACAATAAATCTGCAGTAATGTATTCCAATAACAACAGGAGCTCAACTAAGTCAAAACATATTGACATTAAGTTCCTGGTTGTGAAAGAAAGGGTACAGAGTGGACAGATATCCATAGAGCACATTGGGACAAACTCCATGATAGCTGATCCTCTTACTAAGGGATTGCCACCTAAGGTCTTTCATGAGCATACTGCTCATATGGGTGTGGTATTATTTGAGGATATTATGTTTTAGTGGGAGTTTGTAATTGTGGTGCTTTATGTTTGGTTGTATTGTCTGATCAGAATAAAGTATTCAGTTAAGACACTCTGTTACATTATGTTTGGTTTTCACCTCACTAAGGAGGACTAGACATGTACTGATCACATTACATGTAATTTTCATGCTGCACATCCATGATTGATCTATGTCGTTTGATTGTATTAGTATATGTGACCATTGATGGGTCGAGTCACGATAAATGTGATGAAGGCCGCTTTGATCCTATATTGATATAGTCAATGGACGAGATTGTTCGGAAATACATTTTCAGTGATAGCAATTTTTGAGCTCATAAGGTTATACACAATTTAAGGAATCATATGGTGCCCAAGTGGAAGATTGTTGGATTTAATCTAATAAATCTATTTGTGGGCACATATGATTAATCAATGTGTATTGCTATCTTTCAGGATAACCCACTAAAGTGATCAATTAAGTTGGGTTAATGGGTATTTAAATATAATCATGGGGTTATATGTGCAGATACCAGGTTGTAATTGTGATTTATTGAGGGGCTAAATTACAAAAGTACAACATCTATAAATAAGGGGTTATGGTCCCTAACCTAGGGTTACATTCTTTAATTCTCTACACCCCCATCTAGCTAGAGAAATTCGGATTTAGAGAAACCCTAAGGTTAGAAGATCCAAAACCCATCTCAAGGTTCATCCATGGATTCAGGTATAAGCTTCCACTCTTTTGATTCTTGTTAATCTCTTTGAATTAATCATGGCTATATGGTTTTAGATCTCAAGTTATGATTCAGATCTAACAGAATGAATTAGCGACTTTGGGTGGAGTTAGAGGGTAATTTTACAACGTAAAGGAGAATCATGTTGAAGGTTTATGAAGAGAATCAAGGAAAATTCCCATGAAGCGGCTGGAAAATGTATCAGAAAGAAGAAGGGAAAAACAAGAGCAGAATTGAACTAGAATAACAACAATTGATGGAATAAAAGTTTAATTGCTATATTATTTAATTCAAGGTTGTAGTTTTGACCTGAGTTTTGTATTCACCGCCACCTCCAGCTTCCCCGCAGGACTCCACATCATACTTCTCCTGCATCGTACCACTCTTTTTGAACGCTGCATAGTTTGTTTTGAGCCACCTTATTGCAATATCTTCAGCCAAAGATCTCGCTTCCGGAGAACCAGACCTTACCAATCCTTCGACAATCATATGTTGCAAAGGAGGCCAACCATTTGGAAAGTCCCTGATCAGCACATTGAACACATAATTCTAAATATAATATAAATAACAAAAAGAAAAAAAAAGGATAAAATTCATGTTGTCTTTCAATTTCCCTCCTATGTGATTCCAAGAACATATTAGTCATCTCAAACGCATAATCAAAAGATTACTTACCATTGTTGACCGGTATTTACCAATGATGTTGCGATTCCTGCAGGATGAATCAATCCTGATGTTTGCAAGCTCTTCAGAACTTTGTCCACAGCAGGTCCATCTTTGGCAAAAAAGAGGTGTAATTCGAAATGTACAACAATATCAGAGGCCATTACTGAAAAAGGTCTCTAAACTTAGCACGAAAATCTAATACTTGCAATTAACATACATATATACTCCATCTTATGTTTTGAATGTTCTTGTTCTTTTAACCAATAATAGTTTTTAACCGAAAATATACAGGTTATTCAACTTGGCAGATTAGAGATATTACATACAAAAAACATTATATGTTGGTAAAGAAATAAACTAAAGGTCTCTTTTGTTGATTTCCTAAAATCAAAGAAAAAGAAATATGATAAAGAAACGATTAAAAGTTGATTTGCATCTATTTCCTCAAAAAATCATAAAATGGTTTCCTTAAAAATGAGTCACATCATCCAATAACATGATGACAACACATCTCATCTCATCTCTTTTCTTAGTTTTAAGGAATGAACCAAACACAAGGAAAAAAAACTTACTATCGAAAATATGTTTTTATAATTAATTTCCTTATTTTTTAAGCCAACCAAAGAGCCCTTACGTTGCCTAGCATGATCAAACGTGTACATGAAGTGAACATAAGGTCATGTCCTAGCAATTGAATCAAATATTATCAAGTCTTATCAAATTATTTATCGTCTTTCACCCATGTTCCTCGCCTAATAATTGTTGCAAGTTCCAAGATCACTCTGTAGCATGGTTTCTCAGTAATTAATCTGTGCACAGACAGCTATCAACAATTATATCTCTAGAACATTTTCCCGCTAAATTGAAATGCTACCAATATTTTTTAGGTTTGGTTACTTATGAACTATGAAGCACGGACACGGACACGGCGACACGGGCACGACACGGACACGGACACGGGCACGGCAAAACCCAAAAAAATAGGACACGGCGACACGGCTAGATTTTTTTAATATTATTATTATATATAGATCAATATTGAATTAAATTCATATTACATTTTCATATTTTTTGTTATGTAAAGTGGAGGTTATAAATAAGAAACTAAAGAAAAGTGTGTGTTGCAGGTGTGAATTAAAACGTCGGGATGGCAATGATCTCTTGAAAAATTGAAGACAATAATGTAAAAGAAGACAAGAAAGAGAAGATGAACATATAGAAAAATAGATCAATTTTTTATGTTATATTATTATGTAACATTGACTTGTATAATCAATGACAAATGTAAGTTATGTAACTGATTTGAAGATAATACCAAATTTTAATTTCCATTACTTTCATCTTGAGCATATCTAAATATAAGAGAATAAAGTTCAAGTTGCAACTAGTTCCATGACTACAAAATACTAAGTTACTAACATTGCAAAAATTACAACCAAAAGTGTATCTTAAAAATAAAGTTCTCAAGTTAAAACATCAAAAGATCATTCTATGGTTTCAACTTCTTCATCCTCCTCAAACACAACGGCCTCCATCGTGGGCTCGTCAAGAGAAAGGGCGGCAGCATCTAAAATACCGGCACCTTGAAATGATTCAAATGTATCTCCACTCCACCAACATCCCACATTCTTGATTTCCCTTCCATATACTCTTCCGAACTTCAAGAAAGTAAGCGAAGGTTGGTGTGAACATAAACAAGATCCTCCGCACGTACCGGGGTTAGCTTGTTCCTCTTTAAGGTGTGAATGAAACCATACGTACTCCAATTCCGTTCACAACAAGAAGAGGAACAAGGTTGGCCTAGAAGTTTTACGGCCAATGATTGCAAATTTGGAGTATTTGCACCATAAAGAAGCCACCATGACTTAGGATCCATATGTGCTCTATCGGAAAGAGAATCCGGATCACTAAAAGCCTCCAAAGCCCCCACAAACTTAGCATATTCCAAGTTCACCGCCCGTCGTTCATCGGGGTTAGGATAGTATCTTCTTAAGCACTTTGCTCTTTCCGTAAAGATCTCAAGATCTTGATTTGGAGCTTGTCGATTGACGTTCTTATTGAGCCATGTGGAATGATAGTACTTATATTCGTTAATAACATGAATTAGCCCACAATGTATTAAGTAATAGAAATATTCGCATTAAAGAGTGAAATGTGAAATATTACCTTGGAACTAAAGAGTGTGTCAAGCACTGAAGCGGAGTGTTGCTATTGTTCCATCGATCCACCAAGATCTTGTGAACCACCTCATAAAAAGGAGATTCCTCGTTATCCATTTTACCCTCGTGCCTATAAATAACTTGCTTCACCTTCTCAATCATTGTATCCCACATATCATACACCAATTGAAGACATGGTGTATCAGTGTCAGTGACCCTTATCATTTCATAGATTGGGCCAGTGAAGTCAAGAATAAAATCTATCTTGTCCCACCACAAATCATCGAGGACTTTTTCTTTCACAAATTAAGCTTTTCCCACATCATCTTCTCTATACAAGCTCCATCGATTACTTAGGACCATGTCTTGGAAGCCTCTCTTGACGACCTTAAACCTCTTCAACATAATAATCCACGAGACAAATCTTGTGTCGGCAATCGATAGGAGCTTCACCTTGGAATAATCATTAAACATGGAAAGCCGCATAGAGTGATTCATAATAAAATTTTTCATAAACAATGCATCATCATAGATATCTGTAATCCAATATAATTGTGCATAAGCCATGGCATTTGCTTCCGTGTTTTTAGCCGCACAAATATTCTTAATAGCAAAATTGAGTGTATGGACTACACAAGGAGTCCAAAATATGTGAGGCCAGGTGCCCTCCACAAGCCCTCCTACGGCCTTATATGCTGAGGCATTATCGGTTATGATTTGAATGACATTTTTCGGTCTCACCTCTGTGTTGCACTTTTCTAGCTGTGCTTGGATAAAATACTTATTCTTGACTTCTCCCTCGGCATCCACGACATTCAAGAACATTGGTTTACCCTCACATACCACCATAAAATTGATGATGGGCCTCCTTTGTGCATCCGCCCACCCATCACTACAAATGGAGACCCCCTTCTGTGACCATGTGCCCCTGATGGGCTCCATCAACCTCTCTACATGAGTTTTCTCACGTTGTAAGATAGTGGTCCTTATGGAATTATAACCGGGAGGCTTGTAGCCAGAAATTGGATTGCTTGCGGCATATGCAAAAGCCTTGGCATAATATGGATTCCTTGTCAAGTTGAAGGACAATCCCCCGGTGTAGAACATCCTACCAATCAATGCATCCAATTCCTCCCTTGCTCCCATATTGAATGCTTGTTCCATGGTATTAGACCCCCTCCTCCTCTTAGATTCACTTGCACCAATAGGCATGCTTGCACTTGCACCTATACCGGTCGTACTTACAGTCGAAGATATAGGCAAAACTGGCATCTTAGGCTTAGAAGCCCTCAACCTCGCTTCCGCTTGATCCAACGTCCTTTGAAACTCCCTTAGGTGTTCGGGTGTTGACTTGGAACACATCTTAATTCCAGTCCCGCTTATCCTCAAGAGGTGATTTTTAACTCTTGTTGACTTGGAACACATCTTAATTCCAGTCCCGCTTATCCTCAAGAGGTGATTTTTAACTCTTGAGTGTGAACCGGTAAATTCCAGTCCCGCTTATCCTCAAGAGGTGATTTTTAACTCTTGAGTGTGAACCGGTAAAATCCTCTCTGTAATAATTACATCTCCATCTCTAATTTGCTCCTGCCATTCCCTCCCTTTTCTCCAATTTGGTAACATATTTTCAAAGCGGATATTTGTTATCTTATACTCCACTACCACTAGAACTCCCGTCTTATTCCATTTTTGTAAAATACAAGCAATAACAATAAATTAAAAAATTAACAGTAGTAAAACAGTAACTATAGTAACAGTAACAGTAACAGTAAATTAAAAAATTAAAAAATAAAACCCTAATTAATTAACTAATTCATTAACAGTATGATCCTAGTTCTCATATTTTTATACAGTAACAGTTAAAAACGAAAATAATAACAGAATATAAAAATAAAAAACAGTGATAGTAAAGTAAAGGAGGGAGAGAGGGAGAGAATCGGGGAGAGAGAGACTAGGATTCGGGTTATAAAAGAGAGAGAATAAGAGAATAAGAGATAGCGATCGGGGGAGAGAGAGAGAGCGCGATCGGGGGGGAGAGAGCGATCGGAGAGAGAGCGCGATCGGCGAGAGAGAGAGGGCGCGATCGGGGGGAGAGAGAGAGAGCGATCGAAGAGAGAGAGAGACAGAGAGCGGAGAGACTAATGGGAGATGGCGACGACGAGACTGGGAGCTGGCGGCGTGAAATCGGGTAAGTTCTCTGATGACTAGGGTTAGGGTTTGGGTTTAAGTTTGAAATTGGGTTTCGGGTTTGGGTTTCATTTTTTGGTTTCGTCGTGTCGCCCTCAACTTCACCGTGTCCGTCCCGTGTCTGCCGCGAGTCGACGCCGTTGACGCCGTGTCTGACGCGTGTCGAACGCGTGTCCGTCTCCGACAAGCGTCGGACACGGGGACGGGGGCTGTTTGCAAGAGTCGGTGCTTCATAGTATTGGAATACAGGACAGAACAGAACACTACTCATTTAGATAGCAAACAAGTATAGCCTAAGGGAAGTTCCTCAACTTTTTGTATGTTATAATTTTTTTGAAGAGTTTTGCTAACCATTACCCGTGGGGTAAGGAGGAGAGAGAAAAAGAGGGCATGATGAGTGGGCCTCAATGTTTGCCACTAATTCTCTCTCTTCATTCTCGCATTTATCTCTCCCACTTAACAATTGCCTTTAGGCTAATGGTTATCAAAATTCGTTTTTAGGAATATATTTTCTCCATCTCCATCAAATCCATGAATTAACAAGTAGAGTTGAAATATTACAGCAATACAGCATATTATATAAGGGAAGACCGATGAAAAACATTGTTTTTGATGAGGTTCCGAGCAGCAAAGCCTTAATTCCAACTTTTTGGGCTATATGAATCCTATTTTTCCAATCATTTATATCATGGAATCTCCTCCATTAACTACTATCATATCTTTTGAGTTTTTCTAAACCAAGTTCTTTCGGACTACCACTAGTCCTCTTTTCCCACTTACTATAATCTTATTTTTATCGCTTCCCCTAACTAGTGTCCGCCTGTGTTTGGTATGACCAACCTCTAACCTTCTACGAATGCATTCATTTATTATCCTACCTTTAGTTAGATATACACAAGACCATCATGACATTCTTATTTTAGTTAAATTCGTTATCTACACATCTTGTTTTTTAGCTTTCCCAATATTCTGATCCTTAAAGCATAGATCTCTTCAATCTCATAGGTATTTCATGGTTTTATAGGACTCCGTTTTAACCATACTGATCCGTTTCGATGAACCATATAGTCCTCAACCTCACCATCATAATGGATTATTGATCATAAATAGAAAAAAGTGATTACTCTCATATATTTCTTAATTGTCTATATGCACCATACACTCATTCCTCTAAATAGTTTAACCAGAATTACACTATATTATGTTTTTTTTCTACTATAACACTAATCCTTAAGGTTTAAGACCTTCTCTTCTCCTCCTTTTTTAGAAGCTATCAAGAAGCTATACCGGGTGCCAACGAGAAGAACATGTAAAACACCAACAAATAAACAAACCACAACAATAACAACAAAGCTATTCCCAGAGTTGGAGATCAGATATTAATCGTTCTCCAATGAGGGCTATAAGTACAAGGAAACATGTTCCTTCACATTTTTCTATTCCATTCACTTTCATGAGTAAGTGTTTTTGTGTTTGTTTCACCAAAAAACATGGGATATAAGTAATTTCCACCACTTTCTTTAGTTTGGCTATACTTGAAAAAAGAAGAAAGCAATTGATCATGAATAGATTCCTTTTTTCTATTCCCTTCACTTTCGTGACTAAGTGTTTTTTGTGTTTGTTTCACCAAAAAAAATGGGATATAAGTAATGTCCACCACTTTCTTTAGTTTGACTCAACTTAAGAAAAGAAGAGTGCAATTGATCGTTAATAGATTCCCTCATTTTCCTTAGTTCACTTCAAATAAAAAAGTAAAGAAGAAACTAATATTGTGATTACCATGGTGCGCTTATCGTTCACATATGGCAAAATTGTTGCCAACATAAATTGAGGTGTGTACATACCTACCATCACATAAAAATTGATTGCAACGGTAAACCCAAACGACTATTGGAGGTAGCAATTTGCAAAATGTTTAAAGATTTGAGGGACTAATTTCAAAATACATTTGTGGGAGTAGTTTGAAAATGTTTAAATATTTTAGGGACTAATTTTAAATCTGTGGTAGTAATTTGCCAAATATTTAAAGATTTGAGGGACTAATTTTAAGTTATGAACATTTGAGGGAGTAAGTTCAAAATGTTAAAAGATTTAAGGGACTAATTTTAAATTTTAGGAGGTAACCATAAGGTGGGCGTGATTAGGTTCTAACTTCTTTATTATATATCCACTGACAAAGTTTCAGCTTTCAGCCAAAATTACTCCATGTGATATTGATTTCTGTTTTTAGCGCCACAACAGGAATGAGGACGCCACATCTACATAATTTTAAGGGGTTAGAGTCGCACGCACACGATGTAAAATAGTGGGAAATTGACGTGTAACTCACATTCTGACACTTTTCCGGTGTTTTATTTTGAAAAATAGGCAACCAAACAGCCCCTAAATGCAACGCTTACATCAGTCCAAGCAATCGAATACGTAATAAAGTGATGCTAACCTGTATTGTTTTCCTGAATCCACAAAGGAATGAAATTTGAAGCAAAAACGTTTTGATTCTGATTGCGCAGGTCAAACTGGTGGACATCCTAGAGAATCATGAGCATTTGAATTTAAAATTAGCGAGACATAGAAACCTAGTGAATTGTGAAATGGTTAAGTAAGAATGCATGCTAGTCCGTGAAGCACCTCAGAGCCGCACTCGCCAATGAGCCAGTAATCAAGCCATTGCCCCATCTCCTCGTTCCAGAAAATGGATGTCATTGCAGTTAATCGTGCTTTTGAAGCCGTCAGAAATTTCTCGGATGTGGAATTATCCCCAGTCAGCTTTGCGAAGAAAGCAATGCCAAGCTCCATCTATTACAACAAATTTGATGTACAGTGTCAACGTCCTTTAAGATTTAAACGCCTGACATAATTAGAATTTACAGGGTGGATGATTTCAAAGGTCTTAACCAGTACGTTCAAAGGGAAGAAATTTTAATCATCATTTACCAACATCCCCATTCCCTTTCAAAATTGAGCTAGCTATGAAGTATGGCCAGAAGCAAAGAATGCTCAACAGGAGACTTGACCCACTTTATAGGAACAATTGACTTGGTCAACGCCTATATGTTGATGAAGGATTCTTAAATAAGAAAAACAATGAGAAAGTAAGGGCCTTGTCTTGATTTTTGCTTATTGCAATTTAAAGGTCATGCATCCGAGCGATCTCCTATATTTAGGAAAAAGTCTGGGAGCATATGTTAAGAGGAAACTTGAAAGAACAATTTTTCAAAACAGCCCCTTTCAAATTTTTATTTTTCAAAATCGACCCTGTTTTTTTTTATTTACCAAAACCGACCCGTTTTTTTGATTAGCAGCCTAATCACATTCCTAAATAGTCGGGGTTGCCAACCCCGACTATTTAGGAGGTTGTTAAACCCTAATTAGAAGCCTTAAACCATACAAATTTAAGTCCTAAATAGTCGGGTTTGGCAACCCCGACTATTTAGGAATGTGATTAGGCTGCTAATCAAAAAAACGGGTCGGTTTTGGTAAATAAAAAAAAACAGGGTCGATTTTGAAAAATAAAAATTTGAAAGGGTCTGTTTTGAAAAATTGTTCAACTTGAAAAGTATTTGCTACCAAGTGACCTCTGTGGCATGGAACAAGCTAAAACGATGGAGCAAATCACAGTAAACCATGAGAAAAAGAAAAGAAAAATGCAATGCAATATCTTCTATTTATGAACCAGTACAATGCATTGCATACAAATTTGCGAATAAAGACTACATTCATCTTAGTGGCCGGAACAAGGCAGAACCAGTTTTGATGACCCATGAGTTTTTTGTGGCACAGTATATTATTTACCATCAATTTTTTCTTAAAGCATATTGTGCAAAACCAGTTCTCAGTTATCTACTGTGGTACTACGCAATGGTAGTTGCAACATAGACTCTGGACAGAAGTATAGAACTATAAACAGAATGTAAATTAAAATAAAATGACCAGGGTAACTTGAATTAAAGATATCCAATGCAAACTTCTAGTGACATAAACTTCAACATGGTCTGCCAATAGGCCTGTAGAGCTATGCATGTAGCTTGGCATTGATGCGGGAGGAACTAGCTGTTTCACTAAAGCAACTACTTGATTTGCAAAAAAATAAGATATTATGAGTGAGGACTTTAAACACCTTGTACATATAAACATTCAGATCTACCGGGATTATTGACGTTGTTGACAATGTAGTCATGTCCGATGAATTTCTGCACAAAGAGCGATTGCTATCAGAAACAATCAATCAGAAATTTCAAATGGCTCTCAGTATAAATACCAGTTTTTGCTAGTGCAATATATGATGTTGAAATACATACTTGGCCATCTTTTAGACAAATTAGAAAGTTGAACAGGAGGCACAAGGGATTGTAGCATAACACAGCTATGAATATATATAGCACCATACATCATTTAGCGTCTTACTTCCGTGAAATAATCAGATGTTTCTGTTAGATATGATTCTGTTATTGTGAAATACAGGGATCGTAGCACAACATAGCCATCAAAAGCGAATAGCAAATCAAATATGAGAAATAAGAATACTCCAGTAGAGACGCTAATACTGAATCACTGATTAATGACAAGGTCGAATATGATTCTGTTGTTTGATATATAGATTGATATTCTTTAGATTTGCAGTTAAGAATTCAACAGTTAACACAACAAGCTTCAGCATTAGATGATCATTTGAAATTAAACAAACAGCCTAGATTAAAATTACTGTGTGATAGTTACTGAACAAAGAAGGGGAATTAATTCATAGGTGAAATGTATCTCATGCAAATGAAAATGAACAATAGCCTCATTATAATGAATTGATTAACTGAAAAAGAAATATAACGCTAGATTAGTCCTACGCGAACTAGGGAAGTGAATGAATACATAATCATGTAAGACTAAAGTCAAGATAGCAATAGGTGTTTAATTTGGCTCATTGGGATTAATCAATCCACCTTTGTGCATATCTACAAGATTAGGGCTTAACCAAATTCCTAACAAAGAGCTTTGGAAGCTTCTAGTTCAAAATATAGAATAAAGAACAGGAAACAAACCTCATCCAGCGAGAGCTGAAATCCCAACCGCTTTCAGCAGTTGAAGCAACTTCACGGTAAAAAATTTCCTTCTGAGGCAATTGAAGCTTGGAAGCTGTTTCCTCATCCTACATGAAGAAGCAAACCACAAATCTTCATTTTCTCTTAGTATATATTTAGCGTCATTTTGAAAACCTGATGCATATTTTTAAGAAATTTTGGCGATGATTGCATTTATTTTAGATAGGAGAAAGATTATACAATTATTGCACTTTCTGGTCTGGGTTTGTTCCACATCGCATAATAGCGACTCAAAGAGTACATCTGGCCTTGAACATCTTGAATGGTCACTTTATGAATCCCTGTTGATATCATCATGAACATTAAAGACTTATATAATAATAAAATCATCAATAAAAAATTTTAATTCACTAAAATACCAAGGTGAATCAATTAAAAAGCACCTGAATTCCAGAAGCTATGTTCTACCAGCAGGAAAGGAAGTGATTCGTTCGCAAATGCTAAATCACCAGTTCTCGTATATATTTCCAGTACCATTGAAGTTAATAGTGGAGGTTCACTGCAAAAATTCCACCCAAAAATTCAACGTCAGCTCTATCCTGTAGACAGATTATGGCGATCGATGGTTGATTCCTTCGTCACTTAAGAATCAAGATTACTAGATTACTACTCATGACCACATAATTTCATGAAACATTGTTATTAAAATACAGAAGTGCTCCAAATAAAAAGATAAAAATGATTTTGCAATAGTGACTCCACTTCAAGAAGTTCAAGTTTAAATCATGAGCGTATATTGCTAAAGTCATGAAAGTTTAAATAGATAGGCTATATTTCAGAAAAATCCCCTTAACTTTGGACAATTATCAGATAACCCTGCATAAAAATATCAAAAAAAAAACTCTTAAGATTAGGGGTTAATAGAAAATCCACTCTTCCAACGTCAACAACCTCGCCCCCCCCCCCCCCCGCCCCCCCCCCCCCCGCCCCCCCCCCACCCTTCAAACCCAAAAAACAAAAAAAAAAAACGAGACACATGTGCATGTGAAAAGATATCCCCTTACGCAATGAGTGCCAACCTGTAAGGTTAAAGCCGGAAGGGGGTGGAGGAAAGTGGAAACGGCGGGGATTGATAACCCTGAAAACTAACGGGGTGCGAAATTATGAAGTCGACAGGCGTGATTCGGAAAGGGAGAAGGCCAGAACTAAGGGGGTCTCTGAAATGGTAGCCAAATTGATAGGCAGAGGAAGTGAGGGGAAGGAAAAACGGGTACAGAAATGGGATCAAAGACGAGCTGGCTAAAAAGCATTGACGCGTGGCAGGATGGGAGAGAGGAG